GTGTGTGTGTTTCTATAGTGTAAAGTGTAACGTTTATGAGACAGACAGCGAGGGCTACAAGGTTTCAGTTTAAAACTATGAGCTCAGCAACAACATTAGATAATGGGGGGAATCCCAAGTTTGGTCAAGTGGAAATTACTTTCTCTACCAAACATCTTTTTTAAATTAACTGCATGTGTATAACATTTAAACAAGATTAAGATGCCATGTTAAAAATAAAAACCTTGAAAGACAGCTGAGAACCACCGCAACATTGTATTTTCTTTCATTTTAGGCGAAAGAGTCCCGCAATAACACAACAGAGACCAAATTCAAACCTAGAAAAAGCTGGCAAAAACAAACAAATGACAAAACACACGGATAACACAACGTGAATGTGAACAGCCAGCACAACTACACGCGCTCGCACTTAACGAGAAAATAAACGTGCAGCTGCGTCTTTATTATTTGAATAACACCAAGCCTCATGGCTACTACAATCAAGACATGTGACTGGAGATTTGGATAAAATATCTTACCAGGCACAACAAAAACCGATAGCGATAGAAAACGAACAAAAACATCTTTAATCCAGAGCATCGCGCTGACTCGTCTAGGTGAATTTCACAGTGTTTACAAGTTTACCACCTCTACTTCCCTACTGTGTATCGATGACATCAACCACTCTTGCTCGCTCGTGCTAGGGAATTCCCCACTTCCTCAAACCAGAGCTACAAAGAGCAAGAGTCGTATAAATTCAACGCGTGGCCATCAAGCTACAGTCAGAACCATGCCTTACTTCTCGGAATTCGTCGCCTGTCTTGTAATTTTAGGTAAGACTCCACCCGTATTCCTGAGAGTATCATCACGCAGACTCTGTTGATTCAGGTTGACATGAGGTGTTTTATTTTCAGCTGTGACGGAGGGAGTCCGGCACGAGATTCGTTTCATCCGTGGTGAGGACGCAGTCTTGAGCTGTGCGGCGAAATCAAAGCCCGCCGTCCGGTACCGTTCGGTCACATGGTACAAGGTAAAGGTCAAAATTCGTATATTTTTCTAGAACCTTGCGTTTTATCCTCACATATGAATGTTTTGTACTAGGTGTTTCAATAACCACTGCAACTCAAGTTTTCTTTTTTTTTCTGGATCT